GTAACTTTTGTCTATAAAACCTAGCAGTAGATGGGGAACTTCACTCCCTCTGGAGGCTGCTGAGTCAGCGTGCTAGATGGGGTTCCTGTCATGGTTGAATGAACAATTAAAACCTTGCTTTTGCAGTTTAGTGGGTCTGTCTTCCTGGTGGTCTCTGGGGACTTTGCAACCTGGGCACAACAAACCATCATCCTTAGTTTGGGTTAACCCAACCCTACCACACACCCTCCCTTCTCCTTGACTCTTCACCCAAGTGGATGAAGTCCTGAATGAATGCCTATTATTGACATGAGCAGAGCCATGTCAGGAACCCCAATACCTCATACTATGAGGATGGCAAAGCCTTCCCTGAGTCAGGCTCAGAGAAATGTCAAACTCTTCAATGGTCCATGTACAGAAAATATCAACTGCAGCTTCTTTCTCCTGGGTGTTTATAGCCTGAGATTTCTCCCCTATAAAGACTTCCAGTCAAGATTAGCTAAACCTGCCTTTTTTGTTCAACTGTATATAATAAACCCACCTCTTTAATTTATGTGTTTAAAATAAACACACCAAGTTTGTAGCGAGCTGGTTCAGTTACAGGGCGGGGCTACAACATTTCACAATGATCCCGGTGAAGGGCTAAGGATTTAAATGAAGACAAAGACAGTGGCTCATTCTTGCAAGGAGAATGGCATTTATTGTAACAAGAGCAGAGTGTTAAATACCAGGAGCAGGCATGGTGGAAAACTACCAAGGTCTACCAAGGACAGGGGCTCACATTCCCAACACCCTCCAGGAAAGGATGGGCGGGAAAACAGGAACTTGCATTCAGGCTATACCGGGAGGAGGGGACAAGAGGTATTTTGCTAGAAGCTACTAGTCACAAGCTGGTCAGCAGACTCCCATGGAGGAAGGGTGAAACACAAGTTTCTGTAGTAACCTGTCTTTGTGGTGCCAGTCTGTATTAACCATGTTCTGCCTGAGAGGGGGAGTATGGATTGAGAAACAGCAGATAAAGATACTAAGAAAAAGACAGAGATACAGGATAGAATCAGAAGGACAATCCAGTCAATACCAAATGTCCCAAGTTTAGTCTTCGACATTCTTATATACCCCAACCAAAAATGAGAAAATGACAAAAGACTTCTTTATGTTTCTTCCTTGTAGAGAGAGAAGCCTTTTCCTTGCCATCAGCTTTGGTTTTCCCCCCAGTCGCCTGGGCTCTGCCGCACATTGTAGTCTCCAAATAACACACAAGATGCTGTATTAATTATGAGACTGTTGGCCTTGCTTGTTTCTTACTGGCTAGCTCTGACTTAAGTATTTAACCCATCTAAGTATTTCTCTTACCAGACAGACATCTTACTTCTCTGGCGGGCTACATGATGACTCCCTGTGTTTCTCCTCCTCAGAGTCCTCCTGGACTCCTAGTCCCACCTATCTTGCTTCCCTATTGGCCAACAGTGCTTTATTGACATATACACAGGACTTCTCCATCACTTCCTTAATTCTCCAAACATTCGGTAACCATGCCTTAGACTAAATCTCTAGTTATCTGGCCTTGAGGGTTAAGAGTAACCACACCTCAGACCAAGTCTCTTGTTATTTAGATAAGATATCTGTGCCTAAGACAAAATATCCTACAGTAGTCATTTCTTAGACCTTTAGGTCTTATGACTTTAACCTTGGAAGAGTAAGGATAGCTTTGAACTCTCTGACCTTAAGCCTAGATGAAGCAAAGCCATTTTTATTAGCCCCGACAAGTTCCCAGGCTGCTGATAGTGTATCTTCATTAGAGGGCATGGCCAGCCAGATCCTAGCTTTTCTGTATGTGTGTCTTTCATTTCTTCATTCCCTGTTGCTCCATAGGTCAGTCCCTAAGCCATGTAAATCAAGGCACCTTATCCCTGTTGAAATCATAACACATGTGTGTTCTGATATCTCCACTTCCTGTCAAGCTTCTTCTATCTGCCATTGCTCCTGCCTTACTTTTGAGTCTCTGCAGATATTCCAAGTTAAATAATCAAAGTTGTAAGTGGGACGCTATGATCCTCATTTGAGAAGGAATATACGGTGTTTGACTTAGTGAAGCTGGTGTCTTACCCAGTATAGTATTTTCCTGTTCATGCAAACTTCATTTTCTCTAGCTGAACAAAATTCCATTGTGTAAATATAGCACACTTTTATTATCCTTTCTTCAATCAATGTGCACCTAGGCTGATTGCATTTCCTAGCTTTGTGGACAGAGCAGCAGTGAACATGGGTGTGCAAGTATCCCTGTCACAGGACACATGGTTTTCTGAATATTTGCCCATGAGTGACATAGCTGAACCATACAATACATGTATTTCTAGTTTTTCTGAGAAACTTCTAAACTGATTCTCACAGTGGCTGTACTAGTTTACACCCCACCAACAGTCTATAAGGGATCCCTTTTTTCATATCTATTTATTGACATTTGTGTGCTTGATGGCGGCCATTGAAACTGGGTAAGATGAAATCTCAATGAAATTTTAACCTGTGTTTCCCTGATGGCTAAGGATGTTGAACAGTTATTTAAGTGTTTACTAGCCATTTATATTTCTTCTTGTGAGAACTCTCTGTTCATGACCCACTTTTTAATTGGGGTGTTTATTTTCTTGATATTTACTTTTTACGTTCTTACATTTTTGGTTGTGAGCCTAGCCTTTAGTAGTGTTCTTTATATATTCTAGACATGAATCCTCTGTTAGATGTACTGCAAAGATTTTTCTCCCATTCTGTGTACTGTCTCTATCAGGTTGGCAGTTCCTCTGCTTCATAGAAGTCTTGTAGTTTCATGAGACTCTGTTAGACAAGGGGATTTGTAAAAATAGAAGTTACACATAATGAGTATTTGTTGTATATAATTTGTAAACGCAGTACAAAAGGCCAATAGAAAAATAGAAAGGTGCTGGGTGGTGGTGGCGCACGCCTTTAGTCCCAGCACTCGAGAGGCAGAGGCAGGCAGATCTCTGTGAGTTCGAGACCAGTCTGGTATACAAGAGCTAGTTCCACGACAATCTCCAAAGCCACAGAGAAACCCTGTCTTGAAAAAAAAAGAAAGAAAGAAGAAGAAAAATAGAAAGGCAAATAATAGATAGATTTCAAAACAGGGAGAAAAATATCTCCTAAGAGGAGATGTTCAGACTCTCTCATTAGAACAACACATTTAAATTTAAAATTACTGCAGTGACATTTAAAAGCTACCAGAGAAATTTTCATGGTACTGAACCATGCCCTCTGAATGTGAAAATTATGTGACTTGATATGTTGTGGGAGCCCCTGGCAGTGGGACCAGGACTTATCCTGGGTGCATGAATTGGCTTTTTAGAGCCCATTCCCTATTGTGGGATCCAATGCTAAGCCTTGATGCAGGGGAGAGAGGCTTGATCCTGCCTCGACTTGGTATGCCAGGCGTTGTTGACTTTCCAAGGGAGGTTTTACCCCCTCTGAGGAGTGGATGTGGGGGGGGGGGGGGAGTAGGTGGGAAGTGGGAAGGTGGGGAAGGGGAAGGAGGGAGAACTAGAGTTGGTATATAAAATGAAAAAAATAAATAAAAGCCACCAGATAAGCAAAGGTAAAGTTTCCAAAATTATAGTGGTGGGAAGGAAAATTGTAGGTGTCAACAGTAAACCATGTTCACTTTCTGCCCAACCACTCCGAGTACAGGTGTTGCAGCTATAGATCTAGTCCCAGCCATGTAAAGTGGCATGTGTACAACACTTCTCACTTCATCAGGGAACAGACAAGAGTCTTTGAAAAGAACCTAAATGGTTATCTCTTTTGTTCAGTTGGGGTTTTTTTTCTTTGAGGCAAGGCCTTGTTTTGTAGACCAGATAGGTTGTAACTATCTCCTCAAATGTTATAGCCAAATGACTGAATTTCAGTCTTTATCTTAAGAGACCTGTTTTTGGTTCATGCCCATAACCAGGAAGTGCATTTGTTCTTTCTTTCCTCCTTTCTTTCTCTCTTTTTTTCTTTTGGTGGTGGCAGAAGTTTGGGAGTAAAATGAAGTTACCCTATGTAGCGCAGGCTAGCCTCAGACTTGCGATTCTCTTTTTTCTGCATTCAGTGCTAGAGTGACTTTGTGACTCTCGGTGTGTGATCCTAACCCCCATCTCTACAGATGAGCCTTGCTCCCTAGTCATACACTCAGCATCTTCCTGTGGGAGCCGCATGGGGCACATTTGAGCAGAGAAAGGTACGTGTCTGTCCTCACTTCATTCTACCGTCTTTCTTCCTGCCTTTGAAGCCACCATTTGTTTCTTTCTGTGTCTACCCCAAGTCACGTGTGATCATTCAGGACAGTATTCAGAGAATGTTGTGATTCTGCATGTGTCATGGTCCCAGCAGGAACTTGATGGCATGCTCACATGATATGAATAAGAAATATGAAAACCACAGTGTATGGGCTGGAGAGGCAGCTCAGCAGTTAAGAAAAGAGTACTTGTTGCTTTTTTTTTTTGAGACAGGGTTTGTCTGTGCAGCTTTGTAGACCAGGCTGGGCTCAAGCCTCCCTAGTGCTGGAATTAAAAGTGTGTGCCACCACTGCCCTGCTGCACTTGTTGCTTTTACAGAGGACCTTGGTCCCCACATGGTCCAACCATCCATAACTATAGTTCCAGACCTGACAAATGCACATGGTACTCTTATGTGCATGCAGGCAGAACATTCATATACATTCATAAAATTTTAAAATAAAAATTAAAAACCCCACCCCAATGTAAGGGACTAGTTATAATGTGTGGGTGGGGGTTAGAAACCAGAGAGCAATGAAAACATTGCCTCTTGGAGAGCAGAGAGCCTAAAGAATGTGCCCGGAGAGAGAAGACGGCTTGATAGCAGACTGTAGCCAGCTGTTGGTGGTTACTCTGTTATGGGGCTACAACACTTCACAACCATCGGAGGGAAGGGCTAAGGATGTAAATGAAGACAAAGACAGTGACTCATCCTTACAAGGAGAATGGTGTTTAATTTTACAAGAGTGGAGCCTTAAATACCGGTCAGACATGGTGGAAAACCACCAAGGTCCAAAGCCTACTTTCCCTGGGCCCTCCGGCAAAGGATGGGCCAATAACAGGAATTAGCATTTAGACAATAAGGATGGACAGAAAACAGGAACTTGCAGTAAGCAGGCCTTACTGGCAGGAGGGGACAAGAGGTATTTTGCTAGAAACTCCTAGTCACAAGCTGGTCAGCAGACCCCCATGGGGGAAGGGTGGAACAGCAGACATCTTCTGGCTGGGAGGGAGGCAGGGGAGGTAAATCTCAGACTCATTTCCCTCCCACCCTTTTAGCATCCACCGTTTCCTTTGCTTGGCTGAACTCCACTGGACGCAAGAAGACAGGGTGCTGACTGATGCTGTTCATGCCCTTGGAGAGCTGGCCGCAGAAGGATGGGGAGAGGACCTGGGAGACCACATGGAAGCTCTCCATGTGTGACGGCTGTTCTCGTTGTCAACATCTGGAATTAACTCAAACCCACACAGCTGAGCTCACCTGTGAGGGATTTTTTTTTCCTTAATTAAATCATTTGAAATAGGAAGAACTACTTCTAATCCGGTGCTCTGAGGTGAGAAGACACACCTGCAGCCTGGGACACCTTTCCAAAAAGGGCATGGAAGAAGGAAGTTTGCTCTCTGTCTGTCTGTCTGTCTGTCTGTCTGTCTGTCTGTCTGTCTGTCTGTCTCTCTCTCTCTCTCTGACTGCTTGCTCTCACTCTTATTCCAGTGCCATTCCTTACATTAGAGCCCATTTCTTGGGATTCCAGAGTACACTGAAGACCTGTGGAGACATCCATACTCATGGACTGAACAACTATTGGATTCTTGGAACTTTCATTGGTAAACAGCCATTATTGGAGAAGCTGGACCACAGTTTTGTAAGCCATCCTAATAAATCCCCTTTATCTATCACACCTATCTATCTGTCTGTCTGTCTGTCTGTCCATCTATCATTTGTTTTTTGGTTTTTTTCCCCTTTGGTCAGTTTAGTGGCTACACCTGAATCTGCTGCTATTTTAACTACTGTCTGTGGCTCCATGATCAGCATCCCACTGCTCAGGCCACAGCCTGGTCAAATTTCAGGTCCTGTTGGCCCCAGCTCTGCCATTGCCACCAAATGTAATTTTTAACTAAGTCTCTATTGTTGTATTTATCAAAAAAGACGCAGGAGTCAGATGTTGGGTTGAAAACTTGCTAGCTCAGAAAAGTTGAGAAGCAACTAGCTGACTTTCCTTTTTGGTTGATCACCCAGCAAGACAGTGTCCCTTTAGCTATCCCACACGAAAAATACCACAGAAAAACTCCAAGTCCCTCCCTACTCCTTCCTGTGTGTCTCTCTGTCTCCCTGGCTACTCCATACTCTCTATGGCTAATTCCTGTTGCTGGCTCCCCCTCTGATCCAAGGTTGATTTTATTAACACAGTCTCAGGTTTCACAGTGCAATTAAATATCCCACAATAATAATAATAGTAATAATAATAATGATAGATAGATAGACAGATTAATTCTATAAATGTGTTCCTTTAGAGAACCCACACTAATACACCATGACAGATTCCTTCTGCTAGCACTACACATACAGCTGAGGTTGTCTGCCCTTGACATAAGTTTATATGTGTTCCAGCTCTTGACCCCTAGTGTTCTTTCTGTCTCCCTCCCTTTGAAGCTGGCTTTATCTTCCTTTCTAACTGTCTTTCTGCTTCTGGTTAAGCTTGTAGGTACCCACGTTTTTGGCATCATGAAGGACTATGGGGCATTTAGTGGGCTTCCTCCTGTCTGGGGCCAAGCAACACTAAGCAGTAGAAACTGGTTTCTTGGCAAATTTCCAACAGGAGACTCAGCTCCCAATAGGATTTAGATGCCTCAGTAGGCCTGGAAATGGGACACTCATTGGAAGAAAGAGAGAGGCTTCTTTTACCTAGAAGCAAAGGTTTAATAATATCTGAGTTTTATTGAAAATCTTTTCTATGAACTTTCCAAAACGTAGAGACAAGAAAACAATATCTTTTTATTTTGCTTTCAGAGTGAGATCCCTTCTATTCATCACATGTCATTGTCTCCTTGCTCTAAGATCTCTTGTTTTGTTTGGGACAGGCAGTTACCACTTATTCTTTGAAGCTTTTGTAGTTTGGTATCCATGGGTTTCAAAGGAACTGGTGACTAAACAGGGACATTTTTATACGGAATGAAAGTGGTTGTCAGGTGTCCCTCTCCTTATTTTGGGATGCTCTGCCCCTTCTTTTCCATAAGAGGGTCTCTGGAATTGTCTTACATGAGCTCCACTCTCTTTAGTCACAGAAAGGGACATTTCACACAGGTTAGACTGAAAAGAGAGCCTCACTCCTTGAATGTCAAATCTGGGATGGAAGAGGCCATACACTCCGCCCCCAGGTGACCCTCAAAACATCAGCAAGAATCGTTGACCGAAGCAAGGAACAAGGGAGCATAATTCCTGCTAACCAAGAGGCTGAGGTGAAACAGTGTTGACATCAATGCCAGCTGAGGCAACAGAGCAAGACCCTCCTCTCAAAACAAACAAGTAACAACAATAAAAGGAATTAGAGCCAACCCCAAGCCATCCCTGCTTGGATTCTGGATCGGCCGGCACATCGGAAAATGAAGCTTCTAGTCGAACGGGGTTGCTGAATGGGAGTCATGTGAATCTAAGCAGCTGCTTGCACTTCACTAGAAAGTAAACTCATGAAAGGGGGATTTAGCAGCATATGGAATCCCTAAGGTAACTGCCATTGCCACCCGAGGAATGTGAGCTCACCAGGGCAGGATCGGAGTGTCTGCTTTTGTGTTTGTCCTGAGTCTGCTTGGTATCTCAGGCAGCTGATGTGCAGCCTCTGTCCTGGGAGGGCAAGTGTTCCAGAAACTTTGGAGGTGACATTTTTCTTAAGTGCAGAGAGGAGTTCCAGATGCCACAGAACAAAAAAAATGACCAAAGCCCTTATGACAGCCAATGCCTTGGTGTCTGGGAGAACTGGCCTGCAGAAGCAAGCCTACAGAGAAAAAAAAAGCCAAAATGTAGCCCAAGTCATATTATAGGACCTCTGAATCAGCATGTCCCTGGGCCTTGGTTTGAACCCTAGCCTGTTTATAGAAGCTGATCTGGGTTTTTTTTAATTTTTTTACTTTTTTGGCACACAGTCCACACTCCCCTTTGAGCTGACTGCCTGTCACTTGTCAACAAGAGAGTCCTGCCTTGTTTGGAGCTGCAACACTCCTATGGAGACCTTCTTGCTACTTGTGTGGGGAATTTTTCCAAAATTTTCTCTGCCAGGGCCTTCTGAGTACTCTTGATGCACCGGTACATAGACAAGCCTGGGTGAGCGCGAGAAGGAGGGAACCACTGTGTCCATCAGCCAGCCTTGCTGGTCAGCAGCTTCTGCCTTGGCCTGTGTAGATCCCCAGATTGTCTCCACCGTTGGCCATTTGGCAGGCATTTCAAAGGACATCGCTGTCAACCGACACAGCGCATACACAGGACATCCTCCATGCCAACTGCAATGCCAAGATAGCCACTTTGTCTCTAAAATGTACAGAGATCCACTGGTCAGCATGTGGTTTAGGGAGCTGGTATGTGAGGTCAGATTAACCCATTAGTTTTCTGCTATAAGATGCATCTGGATAGTTTATTATTTTCAGGAATAAACATTTTTGGAGCTGTCCTGTCATTAAAACTTGCCAGCCTCCACCCAGACACTGATGTCCTCCCCATTTCTTAGGTCATCCAGTTCTGTGGAGTAGGAGCTAGGCATGGGTGCTATGTATTTCTGCCCATCTGCCTCTCATTCTATGATGACCCAGGGAACTGCACCCTTTGGGAAAATAAATGAGACCAGGGGACCTAAGCAAGGGATGAATGGGAAATCAAATTTCTTAGAATCTAAAACTTACTTGTTTCTCAAGAGTGGCTACGGACCTCCTAGAGACAATGTTCTCTCATTTGATGTCACTGGTTGAGAAACATAGTCTGGAAGTCTCTGGTACTTCTTGGGTTTGGGAAAATGGCCCCTTAGCCTATACTCCCCTTTCCTAGGGAACTCCAAGATATTCCCGGTTTCCTAGAGCTGGCAAAGGGCAAAAAGGGCAAGACCTGGGGCAGCCACGTGAATGAAGAACCAAGTTTGGAGGTTGACCTTGGCTCACCTGGCAGCCCCCGAAGGGGGTGGATACTAACTTACCTGCAATACACTGGTCATCACACCATTGGGGTACAAGAATGTGCTGCGCCATGATCGCTGGTCTTCAGATGAATTGAGGCTCAACAACTTATGTACTAGTTGTGTTGTCTACTTGACACAAGTTAGAGTCATCAGAGAGGAAGGAGCCTCCGTTGAGGAAATGCCTCCATGAGATCCAGCTGTAAGGTGTTTTCTTAGTTAGTGGTGGGTGGTGCTGCTGTCCCTGGGCTGGTGGTCCTGGGATCTATCAGAAAGCAGGCTGAGGGGAACTGGGAAGAAGGCTCAGTGGTTGAGAGTGCTGGCTGCTCTTCCGGAGGACCCAGTTCAATTCCCAGCACCCATGTGGCAGTTCATAGTTCCAGTTCCAGGGGATCTGACGCTTTCATAGACATACAAGGAGGCAAAACATGAATGCATATGAAATAAAAATAAAATGAATTATTTAAAAAAAAAAAGTAGGCTGAGCAAGTCATAGAGAACAAGCCAGTAAGCAGCACCCCTCCATGGCCTCTGCATCAGCTCCTGCCTCCAGGTTCCTGCTCTGCTTGAGTTGCTGTCCTGACTTCCTTTGGTGGTGAACGGCAATGTTGAAGTATAAGCCAAATAAACCCTTTCCTCCCCAACTTACATTTTGGTTAAGGTGTTTCATCGCAGCCATAGAAACCCTAAACAACTCACAAGCCATCTGGTATAAGTACACATTTAGACTGACTCTAGTCATTTTGCGTTAGGATTTGGAGAGGAGCGACTGAGTAAATAGTAGGGACAATAGCGCTTTAACTTTTCAAATGATGTGGATGGCATTTAATTTCTCCTGGAGCTTCTGGACTCTGGGTTTTATTACACTCACTGATGGGATTTCCCTCTGAGCCTAGAGACACAAGAGGCTGTAGGTCAGTGCTGATGAGCTCTCGGTACAGGATGTGAAAGCAAGCTTTAGAATGACCGTGCATTTAAAGGCCTTTTCTTTCCCATAAACAGATTATGCGTTAGCTGGATAGGAATATGTAAATAAGTTGTTTCCTTCCTCTTATTTCCAACTCTTGCTCTGCAAAATCCATTTTTTTCCCCCTCTGACGGTGGAAGGAACTGATGTAATTGTTCTGTGTGGAAGACAATGAAGGGGTTTGGGTCCTTGCCAAGTGCATTTCTTGCCAGGGCCCATTCCCTCTACTCAGTTTAATTATGAGTAATTGTTTGGGTTGTGATGTGGAAGAAATATTAGAGAATGGAAAGAAAGAACAGAGTTCAGACTATTATGCTGCAACTGATTCATGCTTTGGCAAGAGCCCTTAACTAGATTTTATGCTTCGGCCTTGCGACAGTAAACAGGGGAGCTTTGCCATATAAGCATATAAAGCTCAACTCAACAGCCTATTTTGAAAAAATAGAAGGATTTGAAAAATGCGGCACTAGCACTAGCTGTTGGGTAAATTCCATGTCAATCATGCGCAGAGGCCTCCACCGAGAACCAGAGTTATTTTAAACTGGATGCTAGCTAGCACCACTTATATTTAGCTGGTGTGTCCATTTTTTATGGCTTGGTTTTCATAAGTTAGATAACTCTTGCATTTTATAGAAAAGCTCTGATAAGTTGTTTGTTTAGTTTTTTTTTTCTATATTATGTTCAGAGGAGGACGCAAAGCCAAAAGCTGTGAATCATTGAGAAAGCTGGGGAAACATGTAGTTTTCAGATAGAGGCCTGAGCTGTGTAGACCAGGAGGCTGAATGTCCTCAAGTGACCGCTACTAAAAGAGTGAACACAGGCAGGCGAGTCAGAAAGCCGGCTCCCCATGCAGTGTTGACTTGGGGACTTGCTTTTAGTTATTTTAATTTACTTAGTTACTTACTTATTTGGCCAAAGAATTAAGCCTAGGGCCTTGTAAATGTTAAAAGTGAGCACTCTACCCTTGAACTATGTCTTCAGCCCTTCTGATTTGTTTCTCAGAGTGGCTTCCCTGAACCACCACAGCTGGCCTTGGACTTGCTCTCTCAGGATCTCAGGTAGGGCTTGCATTCAAAACCCTCCTTTCTCAGCCTCTGGAGAAGCTGGGCTTAGAGGCCTGTACCATAGAGCCTGACTCTGTTTTT